AGAGAAAGAGAGGAACACTAATAAGGAGGGGCATAGAATCAGGTGATGGTACTCTGCCAGAGGACTGACAGGGCTACTTGTCAGACATCGAGGATAAAGTCAACCTCTCAAGGTTACTTTCAGAATATCTGGTGAAGAGTTTTCCACGTGACAAGGTTGTTTTAGTTGCAGCTGGCTTTCTAGAAGAAACACAGGTAGCCTGCAATAACCCTGGTATAGATATTGTTCAACTCATGGGAAAACACGAGGAGGCAGACACAAGGACTGTGCTACACTGTATAAATGCAAGCATAGACATGATTGTAGTTTCTCTTCAAGATACCGATATTCTACTGCTACTGATAACACACTTTGCCATGTGGATGAAGAAAAGGACACATAACCTTCTAAAGTACATTTTAGTAAAGGCAGTGATAGACACGAATGATTTGGACTCACAAGGTACAAAGTTTCTCCTGCCATTCCATGCAGTTACAGGGTGTGATACGACTTTTATTTTATTCAGTCATATTAAGAAGACAGCTCTTCAAGTTTTCCATCAGTGCAAAGATCTCTTGCAAGGTCTTGGTGAGGAATCACTGAATGAAACAACAATAATTAATGTGGAAAAGTTAATTTGCAGAATTTACAATGTAACAAATAAAGATACTATAGACAAAGCCAGGGTTATATCATTTAAAAATAAGAACACTATGTTCTGAGCTTCTTCCTCGTGCCAGAGCTGTTGCGAGAACTTTATTCCAATCCGAAAGGAGGGGGATATTTCTCATTTTATTATTATTCTTCATTAAATTCCTGTGCATCAGGGAATTTTGGAAGCTGTGATATAAAAATATAGGGAGATATTTAAAGCATATCTTAACCTACTTTTGGATGATTTACATTATTGGTCGAAGGAATAAATGATTAAGTTTCTTCTATTCATCATATGTAATTACTACAAGGCACGTTTATTTAAATTCAAATACAGATAAGATCAATCGTTTGTCGTTTTTTTTTATTGACGCACTCAAAGGAAGGAAAAAAATCCTTTAAGATTACTTGAAAATTACTTGTCCTAAGGATGAATATGCCAGGCTTACAAAAGAGTTCTCCAAAGTCTATGTAAGCGCAGGATGAATCCTATACTGTATCAAAATGGAAAAATGTGTTGTTTTTTTGTATATTTGACCTCCGATTATAGAACTTGGGAATATTATATTTCAAAGGATATCTTATTTGATGTTGTACAGTTATTGTAATTACGTCAAAGTGATTACATATAGATAAGTGTAGTAGGTTTAGCTGAAAATGTTGTAATAGAATTATGTAAGAATCTTGTTTCGTTCTATTCATTCAGGAAACACTGAATATAAGTCCATTTGCCATGAAATAGTGAATTCCTTATAAAGCTAGTTAGTTGAAAAGTTTTTTTGGTGTACAAAACTTGAAGACAGCTTTTATATGCGGAAACATCTGTTAGCTGAGTTCTTGCACAGATCTTAAAATATAACGTTGATGAATGGAAACATCGGCACATGTAGATATGTAGATCCTTAAAGTCGAGTTGCTCAAAACTTGAAAATAGCGTTGATAAGTGGACCAATTGTTGGTTGAGATTTTGAAAAGGAAATATCCGCTGAAGCTTTTCGCCAGACACTAATCATAGTAGA